GGGGGGGGGGGATATTTTTATTGTTATTATTATTAGTCTGTTAGCGAGTTTGTTTCTCAGACATTTCTCATAAACACTCCAAATGACAATGGCATGTAATTAATGAAAAATGTAATCTGTATTTTCTGAAACTGACAGCACACACACATATATATATATATATATTTTTTTTTTCTTTCAATCATACTTTGAATAACCAGTCCACCTTTTCATAAATGATCTGATCCTCATCTGGTGATGGATTGGGACACCCTTTCTACTATGGAAGGAACAGAATATGTACGAGTTTGTCTCATTGGGGTCTGATTGAGATACCCCTCGCCAAAACGGCACTGCCACCAATGCTCACTGCCCAGACCGTTAAATATCCGTTTAAGGACGAGCACTGATAGGGATAGATGTACACGCGGTGCCTATTTAAATGGCTGCTAGCCCTGGGGGATGCGGCAATGCAGCTGGAAGCTGGAACTGAAGAATGCAATTTGAATTCAATTGAAACGTCTATTGTTAGCATGCAGCGTCGGTCTCCACGGAGAGGCGCTTTTTCGACAGATGTGGTCTTTCTCTTCGGCAAGAAGGAAGTGGCGAGAGTGTGGCCGTGACGTCCCTCCAAGAAGGCATTCCGGGGTTTGGGTTCTGGGGGAGGGGACGACCCGGTTAGGGTCAGGGGGACCCTGCAGCCTATCCCAGGGAACAGAGGGTGCAAGGCAGGGGACGCCCCGGGCGGGTTACTGTAAGGCACTCACCCACATACCAAGGGTAATGTAGAGACCCCAGTTCACCTGACCACATGCTTTTGTAGGTATGAGGAAAGGTTGATACTTATTGAACCACCCTGAGAAAGAAAATATGATACAGAAGCTGAATGTTTTTTCACAGTGAGGGGAAAACTGAGACTAGCACCAGCAGGTCTTGTTGTGTTGAACCTTGCAAACTGTGTATAATATCGAATGAGTTTTTATTCCATATAAAAAACGGTAGCTTTACATATCACATTGGCGCTGCTCGTCACACAGGGCGGGGTGCGGGGGGGGCTGAATCCTCCAGGTGCGGTTAGCTGGGTTTCTCTTCTCTTCTGATTAACATTCCTGAGGGGTCTGTCGAGTCCCCGCAGATACAGTCCCTCCTTGCTGCAGTTTTTAGGTCACGCACATTCTGTCGCACAGGGAACTCCAGGCAATGTCGAGTACATGTGTCGGGGCACCGTCAAGTGACACGCCCCCTGCCCCACCCCCTGCCCCTCCTCTTGCCCCATTTCCTACCCCGCCCTGCCCTTTTCTCTGCCTCCTCCCCCACCTCCGCCTCCTGCTCCGCATCCTACCCCGCCCCTGTCCCTCCCCATCAATTCAGCAAGTGGTTTGAATGCCCAATCTGTCCTCGCTAATCAGCTTAATCAGTTACCCTTGGAATTCCTGTAGTGGTGCCACTCTGAGAAGCAAGACTTCAAAAGCCACCGTCAGTCACTGGCTGGTCTAACAGACTTCCTGTCAGTTTATTTATTAAGTCCCAATGACACAGTCCATTCGGTGATTGAGTGTGTGCATGGTGACACCGCCCACTGATTTCCCTCTCGTGGCTGCATTTACTGGGAGGGGCTGTCCCAACACAGTGACTTCTGTGACTTCTGCCATGACCTCATTTTGAAGACACGCCCCACAGGGATCTGTCTTCAGGAGGGAACAAGCATCCTGTGCCTAAACAAGGCTGCGCCGATCCTTAGAGTCCACGGGACAGCTCTGAATTTCATTCGCGGGTAGCTATTAATTCTGCTTTGAAGTGCGTATTGATTGAGAGCTCGCTGAACTTGTTAATTCTCTTTGCTGCTCCCTTTCTTTATCATGTGTTGCCTGAAGGCTGTGGAGTGAATCAGGGAAAACAGAGAAAAGCCAAATATAAAATATCCTGCAGCGGACCTTAAACCTGAAGGATCGTGCTGGAAGAATAAATGGGCATGGACAGAAAAAAGAAAGAAAATACATATCACGTGGAAATAGTTATTAAAAAAACAATGCTTAAGTAAAAATGACTAAGACAGGTAGCGAAGGATTTAATTTCTACACGATCCTCTATAAGTTTTGCTGATGCAGTTTTACTGGAGTATTTTAAAATTAGAACTGGCCATTAACTGGATAAAAAAGGCGTTGCTGTAACTTGAATATATGCTGTTTGTCATTAAATATTTTACTATGTGCTGCTGGTTTGCAGTGGTGCCATATTTTAATGCACAGGATATTTTAATACATGATTTTGCATCTTCCCACCATTTCAGAGAGCTGTTTAATCAGATTTTATGGCTGATTAAATTCATGATGTTGTACATGCCGTAGCTTTGGTGCTTGTGTGCTGGAGTGCCGCCTCATGTGTGCCTGCGTGTGTGTGTGTGTGTGTTTATGTTTGTGTTCTTATTTTTATGAAGATATTCTTGGAGCAAAAATGATGCTGTAGAGATGTCTCCACAAAACACACTTCATTAGATTCATTAGGTACTAGGAATCGTTAAGTGCTTTAAAATTAGACCTAATGGAAGATAAAAATGATGAATATTTGTGTGCAATGTTAGTTTCTTAAGGTAATGTTACTGTAAGGATTAGGATTTTTTTCATTTGCCAGAATCCTTGTTGACACGAGTAACCAAAACACACACCGCAATAACGTATGTCTCTGATTGGTCCTTCACTGCAGCTCCACCCACCTTTACGCTCTGTGCCTGCGATGTCTCTGCTTCTCATTTAGGGCTGGAGAAGGTGGGCAGGGACTCCATCTACGAGCAGGAGGGCAAGGTGCAGTTTGTGATGGACGCCGTGTACGCCATGGCACACGCGCTGAACCGCATGCACCGCGAGCTGTGCTCCGGCTACCCAGGGCTGTGTCCCCGCATGGCCAACGTCGACGGCAAGGAGCTGCTCGCCCACATCCGGGCCGTCAACTTCAACGGTAACCGAGTCCTCCATTCTGCATGCGTTTCCCAGTCATTCCAGTCATTAAAAACAAAAAGACAACAGCCCCTTGTGACTGCTGATGTTTGGCAAGGATGCTAATACTTAGCATGCTAGTAATGTAGCGGTCATAGTCACAGACTCACTGTAATCAAAGCTTGCTGTTCCTTGGTTGAGTAAATCGCTGAATCACCCCAGTGAATTCTACTGCCGGTTGGGTTTAAGTGTATCATCTACCAATAAAAGAATGATAATCACAAGTGTAGGGATTCCTGTCAGTATTCTGAATAAACCTGGGACTTAGCTCTTTGTGATGTTTCCCCTCCTGTATGGTCTGTCCGTGACGATTCCCCTCCTGCGTGGTCTGTTTGTGACGATTCCCCTCCTGTATGGTCTGTCCGTGACGATTCCCCTCCTGCGTGGTCTGTTTGTGACGATTCCCCTCCTGTATGGTTTGTCCGTGATGATTCCCCTCCTGCGTGGTCTGTTTGTGACGATTCCCCTCCTGTATGGTTTGTCCGTGATGATTCCCCTCCTGCGTGGTCTGTTTGTGACGATTCCCCTCCTGTATGGTTTGTCCGTGATGATTCCCCTCCTGCGTGGTCTGTTTGTGACGAT